TATGCTAGATAGGCCAGCTTGTAAAAAATAGTTTGCAAGCTTACTTTAATTTTCATATTCATAAGAACTACTGTACTGCCACTTGTGAAAAGAGAATTATTAAATCCTCCAAATGGTCTAATAGTTTCCTTACATACTCTTTGAGCACTATGAGTAATTTAAGTCCTAGTGTATATTACTCATCTGCATTGGCTATTATTTAAACCAGACAGTATTATTAATAATAAAATTTATATTATTTCTTTTTTTGGCCTTTTAAATTTTCTTTTGATTCCAGTCACTTAACACACTAACTGGAATTATATTAGTGTTATATTAGTTTCAGATGTACGATAGTGATTCAACAGTTCGATACACCACCCTGGGCTCATCATGACAAGTGCAGTCCTTAATCCCATCACCTATTTAACCTATCTCCAGCTCCCCTGCCTTCTGGTAACTATAAGTTTGTTTTCTATAATTAAGAGTCTGTTTATTGATTTCTCTCTCTCTCTCTTCTCCCTTTACTCATTTGTTTTGTTTCTTAAATTCCATATATGAGTGAAATCATGTGGTATTTGTCTTTCTCTGACTTATTTCACTCAGCATAATACACTCTGGCTCCATCCATGTCATTGCAATGGCAAGACATTTCATTCTTGTTTATGGCTAAATAATATTCCATTATATGCACATACATATGTATATAATGGGAAGTTTCCATCATTTGCCTGTTGTAAATAAGGCTGATATAAGCATAGGGGTGCAAGTATCCCTTTGAGTTAGTATTTTCCTATTCTTTGGGTAAATACCCAGGAGTGTGATTACTGGATAGGGTAGTTCTATTTTTAAATTTTGAGGAAACTCCATACTGTTTTCCACAGTGGCTGCACCAGTTTGCGTTCCCACCAACAGTGCAAGACTGTTCCTTTTTCTCCACATCCTTGCCAACACCTGTTGTTTTCTTGTGATGTTGATTTTAGCCACTTGACAGGTGTGAGGTAATAGCCCATTGATTTGCATTTCCCTGATGATAAGTGATGATGAATATCTATTCATGTGTCTGTTGGCCATCTGGATGTCTTTTTTGGAGAAATGTGTGTTCATGTCTTCTGCTTATTTTTAATTGGATTATTTGTTTTTCAGGTGTTGAATTTTGTTTTTTAAATATATTTTGGATACTAATCCTTTATCAAATATGTCATTTGCAAATATCTTCTCCCATTTTGTAAGTTGCCTTTTAGTTTTGTTGATTGTTTCCTTCTCTGTGCAGAAACTTTTCATTTTGATGAAGTCCCAATAATTTATTTTTGCTTTTATTTTTCTGGCCTCAGGGAACATAGCTAGAAAAAAAGTTGCTATAGCCAATGCCAAAAAGGTTATTGCCTACATTCTTTTCTAGTATATTTATAGTTTTAGGTCTCACATTTAGATCTTTAATCCATTTTGAATTTATTTTTGTGTATGGTGTAAGAAAGTGGTCCAGTTTCATTTTTTGGCATGTTGCTGTTCACTTTTCCCAACACCATTTGTTGAAGAGACAGTCTTTTTCCCATTGTATAGTCTTTCCTGCCTTGTCAAAGATTAATTGACCATATGGTTGTGGAAATAAAATTTGTATTGTATCTTAATGATTACCACACTTAGTTTTATCAAGATTAACAAAACATACAGTTGAAGCCTGTTTAATTCAAAGTCTTCTTCACTTCATAACTTGAAGGATTTAGCAGTACTGTAAAATTGCTACCACCTTTTGAATGTTTTTTATGTATTTATTGAGTTTATATCAAGAAATGAAAATATTCTTGTAAAACTTTATTTACATGTTTTGTCTCCATTGCACTGTTATTAGAAACTCAGCCCCAGTCTGTTCAGTTCTCTTCTTTTTCCTTGGGGTTGTATAAGGATACCAAGGAGCTTACACCGTGTCAAAGATTTGGGGGCAATGTTTGGTCATTGGTAGCTTCATGACCCAAAGTAGCATTTGCCAAGAGTTTCTCATTCTTCTCTTCACTTAGTATTCCTCCACCACAGGTCACTGCCCCTCTGTCCTTTGAGAATCTTTGGTCTCTTGTCCTCAGTCGTCTTAGTCCTGAGATATCCCTACTTTCCTCAGAGCTCTAGCATCTGAAGAATAAAGGCCTTACAATGTAGAACTTGGCCTCAAGTAGAGGAACACAGAGAACAATTTGAAATCAATTCTGTTGATTTCCCATCCAAATCTTCTTTACCCCATGAATCAAGAAAACAGTTCTTCAACAGGTAGAAAAACACAGCAAGCTCTCACTGACTTTGGTTTTCTTTTGATGTGTTTGTTCATGTGCTGAATCATTTTCAACATACTAAATGGCTAGGTTTTTCTCCAACTCAAATTGTCCGTAAGATTAGGAAACTCAAAAGGTCTTTATCAGCTTCTCTGATCCATCTTCCACTGTTTGTGGCAAAAGATACTGTTTAGTGAGTGGCAGAACTCTAAGGAGACGTGACAGGGAAGGAAATGCCATCAATATCTCAAAATACTACCCTACCCCATCTTTCTCTCCATTAATTCTCCTCCTAACACATTTCTTATTGTCCTGTGAGAACTTTGTAACTTTCAATTTAGAGATGTTGAAACTGGGTCTGGTTACTGCTGGTTAGTTTTCCCAAACCCATCTCTCAGTCTTTACCACCTCTTTGAATAGAGATGCTCTAAGTGTTAGCAAAGCACTCTGCTAAATGGCTACGCTGGTGATGGATACCTGAGGTCTAAAATGAAAATGAATATAACAAAAAATTTTATTAAATAATTAATAAAGATGAGAATGGAAAGGCTCAAAAGCCCAGAAAGACATAATACATTTTAATGTTCTAGTCCCAAATGTAAACATGATGGAAATATGACACAAAAACATGTATACATTTAATATGGATGTCATAGATATCATACTATCAAATATATGAACAAGAACCTCAACCCCTTATCCTTGGAAACAAACTAAACCACATCAATTCTTTGATAAAGTAAGTTTGCTTTTCCTTCCACTTATAAGTTCACTGAGTTGTGTTTTCTTGAAAGTCAGAGTCATAATTTTAGAATATTAATATGAATATTATGCATATTAACTCATTTTAATTAAGTGCCTATCTGACTTCTATTTGAATGGTTCATCAATCCAAACATATATAATTACATTTAATGTTGCGGATAATTAACCGATGAAAATAGTAGTGGTCACAGATATACTACTCAAGATGGTCTATATTTGGGGGTTTATTAGGGGAAATCAATGATAAAATACACATTTTAACAGAAATGTAGATTGAATGTGCAAAGTATGGGTATTATGAGTGAAAAAAATTATGGATGATTATTTTATTTTCAGGTTTTCAAATGCTCTGTAAAAATATGTGACTTTTGTTTTTCAAAAAAATACATCGATTAATATATATAACAATATAACAATGTTTCAAGTAGAAGATAAGTAGATAGGGTTTTATATATATGTGTGTGTAACATATAGGGATATATATATATTCATATATACACATACATATATATGTAACATATAGGGATATATATATATATATATATATATATATATATATATATATATATAATCTAACCCCTCCAGGGGTTTTATAAATATGCCCAAGAGGCCCATAGAAAGTTTCAGAGTTGCTTAGGTGAGTGAAAAACATTGAAAATGTCAAAATCACTTCTTCTAAATGCTGGCTCTACTCCTTCAATATCACTTTCGAGTCTAAGTTCAACTTCACTACTGAAAGAGAGCTTATCTTCAGAGATCTAACTATTTGATGTGGTTCTCCCTGCAAAACAGCTTTGGATCTGTTGCCTCAGAGGAAACCAGTTGCTTTGGATGGTGGTGAATGTGAACCTGAGGGGACTCTTGTCCTAAAGTTGTGTGGTCAAGGGGAACACACAGAGTTGCTCCCCCATAAACAGAATGTTTATCCGTATCAGGGGCCCTTTATCTTATCACACTAGCGCTTTTTACCACTGTATTCTAGCTTCCATGTTCTGCCTTCTTTTGCTCTTGCCTCTAGTTTTATATTTGGAGATAATTTGAAACTGCCTCCCAACTATCTTTCTTTTCAGGCACAACAAGCTAAAACAGTTGGTTTTGGGGCCACCTGGGTGTCTCGGTTGAGGGTGAACTGTTGATTTCAGCTCAGATCATGATCCCAGGGTTGTGGGATTGAGCCCTGTGTCAGGCTCCGTACTAAGCATTGAGCCTGCTTGAGATTCTCTCCTTCTGCTCCTTTCCCCGGCTTGCACACTCTCTCTCTCCCTCTCTCTCTCTCAAATAAATATATAAATAAACACTGGGGTTTTCTTCCCTCAAAATGTATGCAATCTTTATTCATATTTAATTAAATGAGAGGTGGATCACCGCTCATTTACTTGTTCTCTGTCAGGATAATGTCATTCATTCTGTGAACATTTTCCTGGGCCAGTAGAGGTCAGTGGATGTAGGAAATGTCTCATTTCTTCATTTTAATTAATTTCTAAACGTGTAATGAGTACTTTGAAACTTTTCAGGCTTACAGAATTTTGACTGTGGAATTCTTGAAAGTTCACAATATTAACAATTTTCATTAAAGCTCTCTCGTCTTTGTGAGACTCTTGATAGCTACATGCTAAGTTGGTAGAAATTTATTAAAACTCCATCATTAATTTTGAAAATATATAAAAGATTTAAGCAAGTAAACTTATCACGACCTACTTTTCATGTGCGTTGTGAAAGGAAACAACATAAGAAACTGTTATTAAATCATTAAGCAAATGAGAGTAAATAATTGATGTGAACAAATGAAGTTTCATAAAGAACCAAAAAATAGATAAGGCAATAAAAAAGGATTCTAAAACTCGTTTTGCCTTTTGTTTTTTTTGAAATGGCAAAGATTTTTATTTATGCCTACCTGTTTGTTTGTTTTAGTCACTAATGTTATCTTTTAGTCCATCATAATTGTTTTTTTTTTTTTTTTTACTATGAAGGAGTCTTTTGTTTTACCCTTAGGCTTGAATCACCCACCAGGTCCTTGATCATGGAGGCTCCTCGAGGGGTCCAGGTCAGCGCCGCTGCGGGAGACTTCAAGGCCACCTGCAGGAAGGAGCTCCATCTGCAATCTACAGAGGGGGAGGTGAGTTCCCAGGGGGCAAAGAGGCCCGTGACTGCTCCTCAAATTAGATGCATATTCCTCCAGGTGACATATGATGAACTGCTTCGTAAAACAGCTTAAATTATGAAAATATAGTACTTCTTGAATATGAAATTTGGTAAACCTTCTGTTATTAAAACAAAGCCCCACTTATTTTCTAGGGAACGACTTCCATTTATGAGTCAATTAGAAGTGGGGCATCTAACTTCCTGTAGTTTCAGAATTGACAGATAAACATAACGTCAAGATCATATCAAGAATAAAGGCAGGCTTTTCTTTTTCTTTTTTTTTTTTTTTTTCCCCTCTTTTGGTCTTCCAGAAAGTTCTTCCAGGAATTACTTGGGATGTTTATTTCTGTAGAAATGGTTCCTATGTGTCTTCTAAAAGAAAAATGAAACAAGTTATTTTACTACTTAGCCAGATTGTCATTCCCTAGATAAGGAGGTAGATGCATGGCAATATTTTTCTCCCATGTTACTTCATTTCCTCCAAGAATCTCCTTTAAATCTGTTCTCATTCCATTAAAGGTCACTCACTTCCTCCCCTCACTGAAGTGATGAAGAACCCTTCATCTTCCTTCTGCCAGCTTTCACTGGAGTGCCAGAGGCACACGTTCATTTCATGTACCTTATTTGCTATATACATTGTGATTATTGTATCAGCAGAATTACATTTTTGTCACTTCTGGAAATTCCTTAGCATTCGGTCTTCAGGTATTACCACTCCCCATTACCGCTCCATGGCTCTTTTCTGGAACTCTGAAGAAATACTGTGTTTCCATTCCCTTACCCTCCACATCTCTTAGCCTCTCTTTCCTAGTTTCTATTTCTCTGTCTCCCTGTGCCTCACTCTGCTTATTCTTTCAGCAATACATGCTCAGGTTTCTTTTCAGTATCTAATTTCTTATTTAATCCCTCCACTGAGCTTTTAATCTTAATAATCATGCTGTTCCCTTTTAGGGTTCTCATTTGTTATTTTTTCAAATCTGCCTGGACATTTTGGTAGCTGCTGTTTTGTTTGCTTGCTTTTAATTCTATTTTAATTATTTCAAATCCTTACACACAGAACCTATTGTGTATATTTTTACTACGACTCTCAAAGGCCTTGAAAGTCTAAATCAGTTCTTTTTACTGTTTCTACCAATTAAGTCCCAAAGTATTTTCTTCCTTCTTGTGTTAATTTTATTATAAGTTTATAAAGATCAAGTTGAGAAGAAAAAGAATGGAAGAATAATTTGAGAAAGATGCTCTAAAGCATTTTATACGTCTTCAGATGTAAAGATGAAGGCACAAATGAATAGAATCAAAGGAGGATGTTCCTTTGGTTAAGCCATTGTCTCAGTTGTTGATTCACAATAAATTTTCCTTATAAATTTTGTTACTTTTCTGTAAACAAACTTACTGGCAGGAGCATATTAGCATCTTAGCAGGTATTACAACTTAAATGATCTAGAAATAGGCTTCCTAATATCTTAAGAGTAGTATATTACCTTTCAAGATTTCTTTCTACTACAGTTACAGAATACAATACTTTGTCTACCACAACAAGATAGAAATCTTTCTTAAATATCTTGCATCCTTTTTGAAGAGTTGCTTTTATCATGACAATTATTGCATTCAAATTATTCATAATGAATCACACCATAATAAATATTGGTTGTTATTAATCTCTGTTCTGTTCCTATTTACTCAGCACTTTACTTATGTTCTTTAATTCAGTGTATCAGCAGAATGAATCCTTGGATTCAATTACAGGTTAGCATTTAATTGTGAATTGAATATTAGGCTATAAATAAATCATAGCCAGAGATTTTCAGCCGTTGTCATTTTTTATATTAATAATATAAAGACACAAGAAAGCACAGCACTTTATAGTAGAATAAAATTATATCTAATTTTCCTAGGAAAAAGTGTGAAGTTATCTAAAACTTTCTCTTTGTTTCACTAGCTATGCACAGAAAGGCGGATTGATCATTTACTAAACAAAAGAGATAGATATAAAGTCCCTCCCTTAGACTGTTTTTGAAGTCGTTAAGATCAAGACAAACATGGCATTGAGGTAACAAAGTAACAGACAAAATGCTTAAGAATGAAACTGCACACAAAATTCTGCACTGATGAAGATTTAGGCGTTTCAGACATAATATTGCAAGGAATTTCAAATTCACTTCTGAGGACGATCTGAATCATAATATAGGGGGAACTTTGACAGTATTAAAACAGCGCAAGCCAAAAAAAAAAAAAAAAAGAAAGTACATTCGGTGCAATAATACAACATATTACAAGGTCACTGGGGAAGGAGAAAAAATTATTTCGCAAATTTAGATTTTCTATAACACTGATAGGCCTGATTTCAATGGGTAAGAAAGGGATAAATGAGTTCTTGGTGCAGAAAAGACAGTGGATGGTGATATAAAACCTCAGGCATGTGATCCTGAGTACCACGGAGAGTTTTAGAAAAAATGGATTAAATGCTTTACATGGGCAATATAGAATAGAAATATCAATTTTAGAATATGGAGGGTGAACAGTATCACAGTAACTGCCTTCGCAGAAAAGAGATATGAGCAAGCCTGTTACCGGACTCGAGTCCTTGGACCCAGCAAGGATAGAAATGAGGCTGGACTCCAAAGGTAAAAGCACAGGCAAGGCTTTAATGGGGCTGATGCTCGAGAGCCAGGGAGGCGGCACAAAGGAAGGAATCTTCAGGCTGACTCCCTGAGGAGAGGTCAGGGAGAACATTTTGAAGAAACTTAGGTGGGAAAAGGGGTGCCATGTAAGCATCTAGAGGCGGGAATTTATTAGCACCTGTGCACTTAAAGATCATGCTTCTTCATGCATCGCTTGTTTAATTGACATGTTAAATCTCTGTCCCTGGGTATGATTTTTAGTATTATAATGAGGGGGAACGTCAGTGTAAGTCCAGTACTGGGGTCCATGATGTGGCAGACTAGTTTGCAGACTGGACTGGGTTTGCTCCTCAACTGGTACTTTGCTCTGGAGAATTGATAACAGCCAGTAGGGAGTTCTATGAGAAATGTGATGTCAGTCAGCAGGCGGCAAGGAGTTTTTCAGATACACAGGGGCTTGTTCCCAAGGTCCCTGAGGGATTTCATCCTCCTTATTCTTAAGGAGAAAGGATAAAGGTCTCATTTTCTGAAACTGCTTCCTGTTGCATGAGGCCATTGTCCCTGTCCTAACCTGGATGGGTAAAAATCTCTCATGGACTGTTCTACTGACTTACAGGATTTGAATCTTCCTGTAGAGGTACAGGGTGGAATCCTTGTGCTACCATTAGCTTGACTTGGAATTGTTGGACCCTGGAGGACACAGATTTTACTAACAGGTCAAACAGACACCAAAAATAAGTAGCAGGAGGATAGCCACCAACAGTCTCAGGAGAGGTAAATATAAACAAACAACAAACAAACAAACACCCAGAAGTAAGAGAGAGACTGGGGAGGGCATTTTTGATTGTTGACCAGATATAGTTAAGATCTGTCCCTAAATTGTGCCGATGCAGGCAGGATGCCTGCTCATAAAACCTTTATGTATTTACTTCAATTTTTCCTGTGTTAATTACATAGGCACAATAGGTTTTGTTAATAACGGCATAGACTCCACCTTGTTCAACCAGCAAGTAGGTAATTAATAAGAGGCATTTCTGTGACAATAAAAGAAAAACACAAGTTGATGGTTGGAGCAAATTATAAACCCAGTTTCTGAATCCTGACTACTCCGGTGAGATTTCTGGATGTCAAGCTCGAAGCACCGTCAGATGGAGTGGGCACAGACAGCAACAATCTGATGCATTTTTTTCTGGTTTGTAGTTCACATTCTCTGGTGATCTTTTTGAGGGGCCCAGAGAGCGACAGGCATGAAAAGGGTCTACACAGGAGCTACCGTGACCATTTCTCTGAGATGTACCTCAAGTTGTCTAGCTTTAGTGTGCAAGGCTTCAGGAAAAGGAACAGTTTTACTTCTTAGTGATTCCAAGACAAGAAAATGCAAGAAGATCGGAAGCCATAGTTTGAAGAGGCATAGCCAGATGTTTGAGGAAACCAGAAGAATTCAGGATCCAGACCAGTCTTCTAAGCAAACAATAAACACTTTAAAGATAATTGATCAGAACTAGAATTTAACATCCACAAAAGGTACGTTATTGAAACATACTTTGCCCTCTAAAATCATCCTCATATTCATCAAACATAACCAAACTAAAACCAATTTGTTTGTAAAAACAAGTCTAGTTTTAACAAACTTGCTCTAATTATTTGTGTAAGTACAGCAAGAATAGTGATTGACCACATAAGTTCTCGTAAATCTACTCTGCTGGAACTTTTGTAAGGAATTTTACTTTTTACTTTTTATTTTACGTATTTATTTTTATTTTTTAAAGTTTTTTAAGTTTTTATTTTTAATTTATTTTTAAGAGAGAGGGAGAGCAAGTGGACAAGGGGTAGAGACAGAGAGGGAGAGAGAATCCCAAGCTCCGACAGTACAGAGCCGAAGTTGGACACTTAACTGCCTGAGCTACCCAGATGCCCCTGTAAGGGATTTTAGTTTGAACTTTTAATAGCCTCTCCAGGCCAGAAGTCAAGTCAGATACTTGCCATTAGAATTGCCTGAACTACCTGTACATTTGGGTGAATTCTTCCTGAGGTCCCCAACATATCCTTAGGAGTCTGTACCTGCCAAGAAGTGACTTTACTCACCCCGTAAGGCTGCTGGAAACTCTATAAGTAAGGTACCAGGCCAACAGTTCCAAGGGGCTCTTTTGGCTCCATAAAGTCAACTTTAGTTCCTTAAAGTTGTCTAGTCATATCAGTTTATCCAGACCTTTCTCAACTATGACATTCCAAAGTCTTGGTGATATAGTCAGTGTTTCCAAGGGTGTACTGTTACAAGAATGAATTCTTATTGAACTTATGTAAACAATTACAATTGCCATGAAAGAAAGAATACTCACTGAGAGTTTCTGAA